ATTATGTAAAGCACTTTGAAATGCCTTGATGCTGAAATGTGCTATACAAATAAAATTTGATTTGATTTTGATTTGATTTCTTAGAATAAAGTGAGAAAAAAAAGAAAAAAAATCAGAAAAGTTGTCCAAGAGCCATTGAAGACCACCCTAAAAACACCATCGATATATGGAGCAAAGAACATAATAATGTGTGTCTGTCTTTCAGCATATCATACTGACTGAGCTCATCTAACAGAAAATGGAGGAAGGAAAAGATGGATTTTTTTTTTTAAGTCAGACAACAAACTTGAACTTTTAACTGGTTTCAGAAACGGAAAATAAAACGGCAAGAACTGAATTTAATCCAATTGAAAATCTAGGGAATAACTGAAGATCGGAAAGCATAGAAAAGCAAACAACCTTCAATATTTTAAAACTTTTGGATAGAAATACTTATCAAAATCATACCTGAGCAATGCCTACAATCTTGAGATTTTTTTCACTACCAACAGACAATTTTTTTCCCCCAGACAAACAAAACAGACTTATTATTTTTCTTTGTTTTGTTTTATTTGTATGTGTGGAATACTTGGATAGTTACAAGAATCTGGTATGAATTTCATGTCAACAGCCTGAATATAAATATATGCATCAGAAAAATTAGGTGTTCAGTAGTTATTTTCCCCGCCGTAAATAAAAATGACAGTTCTGTTTTTGTTTGATTTACAAGCACCTTGGCGTTTGCAAAGAGAGAAATTGCCAGAACACAAAATACAGTCCGTTTCCTTTCAGAAGAGTTTCCAGACCATTATCCATTTTACAAATCCCAAAGAAGAGAAATTTATCAAAGCAAGTAATTAAATAAGTACACATACACATATTAATCTACTTCACTATAAATAACTAAGAGAAGTTTATTGCATGAGAGAGTCTGAAATCCTTTGACAATAAAAAAACCAATCATCAACCTGGGAAAGGTTTCATGTTGGTTAAAAGGCTTAAAGTGGGGGGGGGGGAAGGCAATTTAAATCTATTTTTAAAACATTTCAGGGGCAGGTTTAAGACAGAACAAAAGATAAATATGTGCACAAATATATACTAAAGACATTTGTTGTTCACTCTCAAGTTCTTGGTAGCATTTCAGTCAACATGCAAGTGGGCTCCTCTCATCCCTTCACACAACAGTGGTTAGTAATGCACCGTTTTTAGCAGGAATTCCCCAGAGGGGTTTCTTTGTTGGCTTCCATCGAATGGGGTCAGTGAAAGTAAAAGACAGTTCAACTTCATATCTACATGAGTATATTAGTAGTAGTAGTAGTAGTAATAGTAGAAGTAGTAGAACAGGGGAGGGCAACTATTTTCAATCTCTAGAAAAAAAAATAGAGTCTGATTGGTTGGTTTACTTCAGAGAATTTACGTCCTCTGTAAAGGAGATACAGAAAATAATAGGAAACAAAGTGTTTGATTACCTAATAAATGAGACAAAATGTTGCTTATAGTGACATTGGTTTCTTTCTTCCAGTCATGTTTGTTTTGTCTGTCTTAAACTCAGGCAGAAAGACTGCTGTCAGCTAACTGGCCCCGAACGCCTCGTGTGCCACCGTGAACACATGGTTGGTTGGCAAGCCGTGGATTACGCCAACCCCACTAAAAGGAACACATTCCCAGCAGTGTTAGTGGATTTCTTTGTTTCGCGAAGCAGCTTAAACAGTGAAGCGAGTACAAGGAAAACTTGGCTTCGCTCCACCTTCTGTTCTGCTTTCTTTGTTTAGTTCATTTCAGCAAGCAGCAGGAGGGGAGCCAGATTTAAAACTGCACTATGCCCACAGCGACTTTGTTCTGAATAGCATTTAGAAAGTTTCGCTTCGCATTTGGGGGGAATCACAATGACTACAAAAGGGGGCTTGAAATGTGGTGCAGTATCAAGACAGCCTGGGTGACAGAAACAGCTGAGCTCATTTTCCATCGTTAAATCTTTATTACGAAGGCCTTTGGTTAACTGTTGCGTCATTTCCGCAAGAAATCCCTACGTCAGCAACAAAGTTACATTTTCTGACTGCAATTTGCTTGGAAATGAAATCGAGTACAAAATGCCCATGAACAACTAAATGTGTTCACCTAACATAATGAACTGCAATGGCTTAGCTGTGTTTCCGCTCTCAGTGCAGACATCGTCTCGGTGAGGCTACCAAATATATAACAATGTGTGAAGTAGTTTACATTACACATGAATAAAATAAATTACAAGGCAATGAAGATGTTGCTGGTGAATTATTTGATTAATGATTATTTTGTATATTCAATTTTGCTGTGTAATGTTATTTTTTTTTTTCTGACTCAGTCCAGTATGTTACTATTTTTGAGTTAACTTAATCAAGGTTCATAAACCAAGGCATCAAATTATAGATGGACTCAGTCACATTATTAGCTATAAAAATATATTTATATATATATATTACAGAGTTTTAAGGGCATATATTATTGATTTCAGTGTCATTTTGTAATGGCTAAAAAAAGCGCAGTATCCTACTCTTAACAGCATTTCTGAGCACAATTCAGCATCTCAAAGAAGGACAACTCAAATATTAAGGTTAAACCAAAACATCTTCGTTTGCCTTCCCTCTTTTTATTTTTACAGCAGTTACGACCATTGTCATTCTGAGTACTTAATAAATTACATACATTGTCTTCTAAGCAGAAGTACAGCAGGAAAAGACAGCATATGCTGGGCAGGCGGAAAGATCAACAGAGTTTGGATGTGGTGTCAAAACCTCTCTGCTATTTTCTGACCGTATCCAGGTTAAAATAACAAGTTGGTAAAGTATTAATTTATGAAATTTGCTAAATGAAATATTAGTAGCTTTGTTTAATTGCTCACTCATTCAATCTCTGCGGCCTCACTAACGAGATGTGGCACAGTTTAATTCCAGCCTGCCTTTGCGGTCAGAGAGGCGCACAGATAGCAGAGATTCAACACCCGGTATCGTCTAAACTCCATTTATCCACGACTCTGGGCAGGGCGGAGGCGGTGTGTTTATACAGAGGTGGATCGTCTCCTCTTACTGCTGATACTGCGAAAGTTGAAGGGCCTCATCTTCATCTCCACAAAGGGAATGGAAAACTCGTGGCCTTTCCAGTGGTACCAGTTGATACCCTGCAAGAATGGAAGTAAAACTTAGAGATGCTGCCTCAATCTGAAAATGTTATGCTCTAATAAAGACTAACAACTCTAATGTACAAATCTTATAATAAAGAGCTTTCTAAACATAACAGTGTAGTCTTGCTGTGTGGACACAATTTATCAAGATGATAGTTCAATAACTACATTTAAGAAAAATGACTTCAAATGGAAAAACTTATTTGTTTTTACTTCACAACAGCAAAGGATTGGTTGGGCACATTTTCCTAATTTGCCTACTTAAAATCAACTCTCTCTTCTAGTCAGACCACAGTTTCGTAATTGTTTAGTTAAAAATAAATGAGTCATAAAAAATACACTGAAGCTAGATGAGAGTGAAACTTATTAAGCTAATTACAAATGCTGCACAGCAGCTAACATACATTGCGTTTAGTGAGCTTGTGTCTGTTTGCTACTTCATCACATTTATGTTCTCTAGCAGAAACCTTTGTGGGATATAACTTCAAGCAGCTTCGATATGATTAAGCCCGTAACTATCATGAAATGGTGTTGTGTTGGTTTTACTTCACAAAACATTAAAACTGTAAAGTTGGATTTACCATGAAAAATTGCCTCCTCTTTTTGAGTGTGTGATATTTGTGTACTGAAGCTTTTACATTGAAGAAAAAAAAAAAAAACTGAAAACATTTAAGATCAAGGCTCAAAAAGGAAATGTCATAGTTTGTGAAGAGAAACATTAATTTTAGTAACAGTCGCATGTCAGAAATACAGACCAGAGATATGATTCTAAATTTACAATTAGCCAAAATGCTAATGTTAGCCTAAATGCTAACATTCAGTAGCATGCGAGGTATCACTAGCATGTTGTCTTCCATTGACTTCCTCCTTTCAGTATACTAAACACAGCTAATACATAAAAACATATTTTAGGGAAAAGGCTAATAACAATGGGGGCCAGTGAAATGCTAATATTTTCCCTAATGTTAATCTCTTAACCCCAATAATAGTTTTATTCTAGCCCTTTTGTGCGTCATCTCCATCTGCTTCTTCTCATCTGTAGCCTTCATGAGATTTTCATTTTAAGTCTACCTTCATTCTATATTTGCTTCTGCATTTTATTTTTGTTTTTTTAACTTCAAGATGTCAAAAGGAAAAAAACCAGAAGCAGAGAGGGAAAAACAGGACTTCTCTAAAGCCTTCGTGACTCAGCCTGATTTTTACTTCACACACACACAAGCACAAGCACGTACAAACACCGACAGAAAAAAAAAAAAAAAAAAAATTCATGGCTTGTACAGCGTTTCCTGCATGAGGCTGAAAAAGGGGTTGACATAACATCAAGGCTTTATATGGCTGCACCTGAGTTTATTATAAATAAGAAAATATTTTAAATTACTTTGTTTTCCATCGCAAAAAAATACTCCTCCAAAATAACTAGAAGCTTTTGGAAGTGTTCAGATGATTTGAACCCTCTTCGCAGTGTGTTTTGTGGATCATATTTTCCCTAGGAATGTATAACAAGAAGATCTGTGCAGCAGTTGTTTCTGAGCTGCTCCGCAAGGCCACTCAGGATGCTCTTTCAAGTGTTTTAATTTGCTAATAATTAGTCTTTCAATTCAAGAGGTTTTAACCTTTAATCAGTGTGCTGTAATGGCTTCCTTTCATGTCGATTTTCGCAAATGCCAAAATACACTTTGAAAATGTCAACCTTTTCAAATGAGGACATTTAGTTTAATAGGCGATTGATTCAAATGGCCACAAAAATAACAAATATAAAACCTCAACCACCACACCACACAAACAAGGAAAACTACAGAAAATTAGAGAAAATAGAATTGAAAAAAAACATGGACTCTGTTTATGGGAAGACAATAAACTGTTGACTTGTGTATTTTTACTGATGTAAGCACCTCTTAGCAATATGTAAACTTGTCGTAGCATAGTGCTCCGACGCCATTAGCAGTACATAGATGGCACTTTGACACAGCTTTTCTAACCTTACAGAGCAATTCCCCGCTATAGCTTACATTCACCACATGTACCGATACGCAGGAGCACTTTGACATACGGTGATGCTGGCCAGGATGGTCGGGATTGTTGGAATTGAGTTCACACCCCCTAAATGTCAGATGACTAATCTTCCCACTGGGTCACAGCCACCCAGGGACGGTTGCTGCTCTAACATTGTTGACAAAATACTGTGAAATGATACAGAGACAACTAAACTTGAACCAAATGACACAAGTTTTCAGAGAAGTAAAGACGAAAAGGAAATCCTTTAATAAAGATCGCAAAAAATAAAAATCCTAAAGATTTATAGGAAAAGGCTTAATACTATCACATTGTTGATACAAAGGCAAAATCAGGATAGGGAATCTGCAAAAAAAACCTTTGTCCCTAACAACACAGTGTGTCAAAGCTTGGAAAAGAGTTTTTAGATTGGTTGAAGCGATTCATAAACAGCGGATCAGGCCAAAGTTTGTAAGTTAGAAACTAATGACAGGAAAGTCTTTGTTTTTGTTAATTTAATGGACACAAGCAAACATTTTGGGGATTACAGATTATCAACAGCTTGCTATCTTAGATGACCTGAATTACAATATATCCTTCATCACTTCAATCCTCCCACAAAGTTGAATCTACATTACACAAGTATTGGTTAAAGCCGCTAATCTAAAGGTAAAGAGGTCCGATTCTAAGAAGAACCAAACTTGTAAAATGGAACTGATTCAGAGTAAAGCTGAGAAATGGTTACACTTTTATGTTACATTTTGAACTGTGAATGTAGTGAGTTAAAGGACAGACCTGACTGTGTCTGGACTCGCCATATTTTCCGTTGAGGTTGGCCCGGTGGCAGTTCTTGTACCACCAGGCTCCTTTGTAGGACAAGGCACAGTTAGTGACAGCAATGTCATTGTCTCTGTCTTTAGTGGAGAATGGGCGGCCCTGGTGGTAGCTGAAAGAGTCACCTGTGATCAGAGAAGAGCAGGAAAACATTTAATATCACTGGGATGTACAACCACAATTAACAGTAACATGATTTAAAAAAGCAGCAGGGATATAAGAAGTGAAACAGAAAGAAGTCTTTGTGAAGTACACCCAGGAAAAAAAAAATTACATAAGTGTCAATTTTTAAACAAAATTAACGGTCAGCTTTGAGTGTTGAAGAGCTACATGCTGAAAATGCTCTTTATGGCCAAACCACCTACCAGCAGTGCCATTATATTCTCCTATCCTGAGCTTGTAGAGGTTTCTTGCATCTCCAATGGAAAATTTGTCATAATTGGCATAAACTGATTCCTGTCCGTCCCTCATGTCAATTCTCAGCTCATAGCGTCCCTGAGAAGCAATCTTCTGGATGTTATCAAGACCTGTAGAAAAACAAGTAATTGTTTAAAACATTAAGTAAATGTAGGAGAGTAAGTTTAAAAAAAAAAAATTCTGGAAACTAATTGTTCACAAGGCATGTGTGGGAGGAACAGCTGCAGAGAAGGATGAAAAACCAACAGTGGTAAACATAGCTTTAAGATTACTGAGAAGCAAAGGTGATTCAAGGGTCTGCAGGACATTCAAAAGGTGTGAATTCAGTGCTTCCGGAACTACAGCACACAGATTTATCCACAACTACAATTTAGTTCCCTTGTGCTGAACCGCTTGAACAAGTCTATGTCCGAAGCATCAAACCCGGACTGAAGTACTTGAGATTGCTCGAGGAAAAAGTACTTGACGTTGTTGGGTGGTTCAAAGTCCTTTTAAGAAAGAAAAGGCAAAACTCTACAGTCTAGAAGGTAATGGTTTGTTGAGCTATGTCATCTAATAGTGAGGATTCACTGTGTTTTATATCAAGTCCAAAGTCTGCGTGAATGCAGGAAACCTTAGAGAACTTTATTCTGATATGCTGACAAGTTTTTTTGGAGATGCTGATCATTTTGAGCAGGACTTTGTATCCACCTACATTGTAATATTCTAATTTTCTGTGTTTTAACTAATCGGTATAATGATCTAGAGTTTCCATTTTTTAGTTGAATTACTGAAACAAATGAACATTTCAATATTTATTCCAATATAAAGGAGTATAAGGGCCAGGCCAGGAAATAAAGTCATAATATTATGAGAATAAACTTATATGACAATAAAACTATGAGAATAAGGTTATCAGACAAAAAAGTCTAAATAATATGGTAAAAATATTATGATATTACTAGAATAAAGTCAGAATATTGTGAGAGTGAAGTAGTCATTTTATAGGAACTGCTACATGAAAATAATCAAAAACTAAAATTTGAAATGGAGAACATCGTATGCATCTTTATTCTTGTAATATTCTGAAGATATTCTCGTAATTAAAAAAATAAATAAAAATCTTAACCTAGCCTTAATACTCCATCATATTCCAATGTTGTGAAATGCCTCACCATCAATTGTAATATTTCTAAAAGTTAAATTCAAGGGAGCCAATCAAAATAAATGTCTTTGAGTAAATAAAAGAAACATAAAGAGCGATTTCTTGTAAATCTGGATTATTATCTAACAAATGTGCAAATTCCAGCAATGTTGAGAGACCACAGGCAGCTTAAAGTTGAGAGCTTTTCTGACTGTAAATAGCCAAAATATTCACAGACTTTATGCTCCAAGACGCAGCTCCATGTCAGTCTTTTCGCCACCGGTTTATGGGGGGCGAAAGGTTGCATCCCGATAAGTGCATCCGTCAAACGCCTTTGTCAGCCGCCGTGTATGACTGACGCTGCAGAGTGGTGGACGCTGTCGCCACCTGCCCTCCTCCAAATACCACATCTCGCAACTCTCTGAGATCTGTGTCTGTTGCTTGCTATCTCAGAGGCAGCAGATACAAAGCTCGTTTGAACCCTCGACATGCGATAAGGTCCCACACCGACCTGAGCGATTGGAGCTGCCTTCGCTATCAGATTACAACAAGCGCCCATTTGGAAAAAGAGCGTCCCTCTCTGCTTAACCTCTAGCAGATGCATCACATGTGCACTTTAGATGAACCAACCTGAGGAAAGATTTGACAGGAATTAAATCTCCAGCCTTTACTGATAAGAAGTGGTGCAGCAGGAAAACTAAGTCTGCTGTAATACAGTTTGTCAATGGAAGAGAGATACAATCGATGTTACAACCCAGGGGCACTTAGGGCGATGGGGAAAAAAGCAATTGTGGTAATAAAACTGAGGTTAACAATGAGTCGCTTTTAAATTCTGTTGTATAACATAGTTGTGTTATCAGCTATTAATGCGTCACCCATCATTTATACTTTTTCTTTCTTTTTTTTTTTTTTTTACTGCTTCATTCTTAAGTGTGGTGACCGAAAATGCATTTTGACACACGATTGAGCCCCTGTGCTATTATCCTCCATTTTATTACCGGCCTCACTCCCACCCTTATGCTGAAACAATAAGGGGAGAATTAAAAAGCAAAAGGATGGGATAATGATTGCAGATTGCTCCCAGTCACCTGAACGTCTCTTTTTATTACATCATCAAACTAAAACTGCGTTCAGCAGAGGTCAGCGAGCATGGTGCAAATAAAGAGCACCGTTAAAAATGATCGTCCTCAAACTACAGCGGATAATTATCAAACTCTTTACCGCTGGCCAGTCGAGTGGCTCGTCTTTTCAGTTTGAGTGGATTTAATATCTGTGTTTATGGTTCCGATTGTGCAGTAAATTGCTATTCTGAGTGCAGAGGTGGTGATTAGCTGAATGTTTGCCGCAATGGCTCCCCAAGGCTATGACTGTGATCTAATTTATTGACGCCTGCACACAGTGGAACTACACTGACATTGGGCAAGATGTCACTAGATGTACATTTATAACAATAAAAACGTCTGAGGTCACTTCTTAAATGGTAAATACTGAAAGGAGAAATGGAATACAATATTTAGTATGCTTTAAAAGTTAAGTACATAATAACTGACCACGTATGTCAGTGTAAAAACAAAAAAAAAACCAGCAAAAAAAACCTATATTTGTATTGGATCACTTCACTTGGCACACTGTGCTCATAACAACTTGGCTTCACTGGGTTCATATTTCATTAAAGAAAATTTGTAAATATGAATTGCCACAGGATTTTCTTTATCCGAGACTCCCTTCTGTAATTCAACAACATATTGCCTTCTCTAAGTTGGCAGCTCCGTTTCAGTTTTATTGTTTTTGAGTCTTTTTTTGGCAAGGTGTGGGGTGATCACCATGGAGGGTTTTAGACTCGCTTCCTCGGTAATGTTGCCATACTCAATTGCACTACTGGCATGACGTTTTGGAGTTTTCAACGTAAGAATAAACACTCACAATTTTAATCTTTGGCAAATATGATTTGAATATGGTTTTATAAAACTTAAAATGACACGTTTTTATTAACTCGAGTAACAAATGTGTGACAAGTTTAACACGAGTTAAGTGTAAAGGGGTGCCGGTGTCGTCCCCCTCTGGTTGAAAAGGGGTGCGGGTTTTAATATTTTTATCTTTATTTTTTATTTATTTATTAATTTTTATTTAATCTAAATATTTTGTTAAATTTTTTATCTCTTTTTTTTACTGTTTATTCAATGTTACATGACTGTGTTTCTGTTTTTAATTATGTAAAGCACTTTGAAATGCCTTGCTGCTGAAATGTGCTATACAAATAAAATTTGATTTGACTTGAAGACACCGTTAAGAAGAGAAGCTGAAACAAGGTAGACATTATTATGATCATAAACTACAAACAAATACATTCTAGAAGCATTCAGTGGCAAAATTAAATCCGTTTTATCCTATATGATTATAGTGTAATTAGCAGACAGGTGGTCCCACAATCTAATGAAATGTATTTACTTAATACCAGAAAAGCTGGTGGCTCTTATGAGAGCAGAATTCCTTGGTATTTAGTTTGTGTGGATCATTCAAGTATGGGTTATGTCACTGACATAAAACTCCAGCAATGGTAATGCTTTTACCTATAAGACTTAGTCCAAATAATGTAAAATCTATTATTAACCAATCAGTCCTAAAAGTTGAGATCTTAGAAACTTCACCCTGTGTCGTTTTTCGCAGTAAGCGTGAATCGGTTACCGCCGTCAAGATACATCAAGGTTTCCAGGCTCAACTATTCTAACTAGCAGATCATTCGGCTAACATGACAACTTCATGTTTTCTTTCTGAATGTTTTGTGCCAAACAACAGAGTCTGCTGAGCTCCAAGCTGGGATGTTGACTAACGTCTGGCATTACAGAAAATTCTTGATCCTCCACACCCAGAGCTTACATCAAGCAGCTTGTATGCACTGAAAAGACACAATTAGAGACCAAATATATATATTATATATATATATATATATACTGCTCAAAAAAATAAAGGGAACATTTCACTTTGTGTGTGGCTCCAAATCCAGGCCTCCATTGGTTAATAAATTTGATTTCCATTGATGATTTTTGTGATTTTGTTGTCAGCACATTCAACTTTGTACAGAACAAAGTATTCAATGAGAATATTTCATTCATTCAGATCTAGGATGTGTTATTTGAGTGTTCCCTTTATGTTTTTTGAGCAGTGTGTGTATACATATATATATATATATATATATATATATATATATATATATATATATAACAAAACAAAAACAGAAAGGGTATAGAGTGCAGCCTGGAAGGCAACAACAAAATAAAGAAAGGAGACAAAGTCAGCTTTTTGTGGTGCATGTTCAGAGGAGGTGAAAGGACTCAGTATGAGTGACTCCACTGTAGAGGAAAGAGGTCAGATAAAATTTTGTACTCACTGAACTACATATATTTTTCCAGGGCTCTTTTGATTGTAATCTAGAGGCACAGCCATTAAACATACAGTAAATCGGTGTTAGTATGCTTCAGCGTAATGCCCCTCAGGTGGTCTTGTCGAAAAAAGCAAAGACATATCTGTGACTTAGTATCTCAAAGTAGGTAAAGAATCTGGAATTTCTCTCTCTGTCTCAGCCTTTGCTTTAGCAGAAGATATCTCCCTTTTGTTTCAGCTGAAATACAACAGCTATAGATAAAGAATGAATTTATGACAGCGTGCTTTTAACATCTATCTTTGAACACTTTCCCTGTGGTGGTGCAGAACTAACATAAGAAGCTTCAGTTCAACTTAATGACAAGTGAGACTTAATGACAAGTGAGACTACAGATTTAAAAATATCTGATAAAAGAAAAAAAAAAAAAAACATTTTATGCTGTCAGTTCCAGTTCATGATGAGTTAGATCTAAAACTGTCCTTTTAAGTTCTCATCTATTTTCTTACCAAGAGTTTGACTTAATAGTGTGTCTCCTGAAAAGAAAGAATCTTGCTTTGGGTGTAGGAATGTACAATGCAAGTAAGAAACTGTCACAAACATATGATGGACAAGAACCGCCTTTTACATCTATTGCTGTTTTAGAAAGTTCCTTTATTTCCTTAGTCGCCAATATTTGATTCTCATCACTGGATTTTGATTTCTTGTTCACAAATATTAAAACTTACAAAATGAACATATATATAATTTTGCTAGAAACTGTCGGGAACTAAAAATGTGATCAATCTCTACTTTGAAAAAGGACATTTGGATAAATGTTAAATGTCTGTCTGTCTATATATACAATGGTATTTGCATAAGCATTCAATGTTGCAACAATGAACAGTTCTGTAAGCCTTTGCCTGAAACTGTAAATAAAGATGGATGAAAGGCTTAATTCCCCACTTTCCACCCCTCATCATATCAATAATGTGTCAGATTTCTTTAAAAAGCAAAAGATCCCTTTTGAGGCTCCGATTCATGCGATAAAATATTCATGCATTATTTTTTATAAACCATCTGTACTCAAACAATAACACAAAAGGTGACCTGTTGAGCTCATGACTCATTTGCACATTTTGCAATGAATACAATTATAGTTTCATAATGAGATTTAGAGGCAAGAGAAAATGATTCAGCTGTCCATCAAAGGAATGGGAACGTTGAGTTGTTTTTGTCCTTAGATCAGAGCAGCGCAACAATTACCAAGTAATTTCAGCGGGAGATGAGCTCTCGGAGAATTCAGTAATGCATCAAACAGACTTTATAAAGTCAAGTGCCAAAACATGAGATGAGGGAATAAAAATTAGAAAAAAAATAAAAACAGTCCAACGGTATGACTATTCATCACACAAATGTAATAATAAAAAGCCAAAAAGGCCATAACATCTGAACAGAATACTGAAGACGTCTCTCCGCTTTGTAAAATCAATGTATCAATTGAAACCAAGTAGAAACAATGAGGCTCTATTGATTGGATGAACTAAATCATCCAAAGTCAGTGATCTGGTGTGATGCTAGAGACAGAAATACAGCGTTCAGAAAAGTGGAACGAAGATTGAACAAAATAGGTGGCAGGTTGTGGATCAATATTCTGTGTAAAATGGAGCTGAAATATATTGGCAAGGTGGAGACAGTGACATAAAAAAAAATGCAGCCACCTTGAATTGCAGTTCAAAAGTGTCATGGCGTTTTTGATAGACACATCAAAAGTAGACATTGTTCTTCTCTGTTTAGCTCTGAAAATCAAGCAGGATTTGTAGGAGTGGCAGAGGGTGGAAGCAAACTGTTTTTTTTACCATTTCTTTTCTATGTTCACTCACTCAAAGTGGGAAACTTACCAAGCCAAAACTCATCCTCAAGGTTTCCAAATCCAACTCGATAATCACTCCACTTCCTGGAAAAGTCAGTCAGACCATTTTGACGACGCTGAAACACCTGGAAAGGGAAAGGGGATTAAAATAAATTGACTGAGAGGCTCTGTAACAGTAAAAACAAGGTTTCCTATCCTTGCTCTACTGGTTTCTTGCATTTTCTTAATTCAGCCGAAGTGCTAAACAGTGCTGTCTTCACAGTGACTTACAATCCAGCCTCCTTCATCTGTGGTCATGTCACAGTACACCTGCACCCCTTGGCTCGGATCTCTGTTGATGTAAATGGTGTAGACGCCACTCACAGTCTCCCCGTTCAGCAGGTGTTGGGCACAGTTCTGAGGTGTTGAAAACAAACGGCTCCCTGGAGAGGAATGCAGAAATGATGACAGAATTTAATTAGCTTCTGCATTTTTTAGTCAAAAAAAAAAAAAAAAAAGGCATAAGAAAAAGAGAAATATTCTTCCATTGGTTAAAATTTTTCATTTTCCTCCCCCGTTTATGCTCTATCAGATACTGTGCTGCAGGTGTTACCAGAGGGATATGAAAATACTGCTGTTAATATGTTATTTTGTTTTTCAAAAATAGCGAAAACTATTTATATGATGACTGAGGTATGTAGTTTAAGGTTGATCCCATGTAGTATTTGAAATTCCTATTTTTAACTAAGAAGTCAAGTTGTTCTTGCATTAACAGCTTGCAGAGACATGAAATGTGACACAATCTGACATCGAAAGTGAACTGCATCATCCTGTCTAGTTCAAAATCTAAAATACAAGTAAACGTTTGTGATTTGTTAAACAGTTTTTCTCTTTGGGTTTCCTAAGAATATGACTAAAATCTAGTTTTGTTTTCTACTGAATGTAATATTGTTTAACATTCATCTCTGAGATGGACATCTCTCAGTATCATTACTGTATGTTATTTGATACAATGTATTAAGTGAAAATGAAATTAAAGACAAACTAAACCTTCACAACACTTTGGAGCAACATTCATGGGCTTTACAAATAGGTTTTTCCAAGTTTGGAGGGGATAGTCACAATTGAAATTGATATTCTCTTCCTGGCCACATTATTCTGTGTTATTTCTTACAGACAGCCTATAGGTGCAGCAGGCTCACCGTAAGGCAAGGACCTCGAGATAAAAAAAAAAAAAAAATTGCTTCTGCCTTTAAGGAGAGATTATCACGTACCTCTGCTCTGTTAACTCTAACACCACATTCAGTGAAAAACCTCTGGGGCTAAGGAATCCTTCCATAACACAAGTCCAAACAAAGAAAACACATGGGCTGCAAATCCTGTACCTGTAGTAAAGGTGGTGGAAACCACAGCACTGGTATCAAGCCCTCTAGCAGCCTGGAGCTTAACCGTGTACTCTGCGCTCTCCACCAATCCCTCCAGTCGAATCCATGTGTCCTCTGCATCAAGAATCAGCTCCTAGTGCACACACAGTACCAGATTCATTAACATTTACTGTGGGGAGGAAGGCATTGCTTGGCAAAATATATATATATTTTTTTTGCAAAGCTCTTAATCATAGGTGCAACCAGTTGGAAAGTTTGAAAAGACCTTTAAGGTATTCTTGTACTGAACATTCCTAATGGCTTATTTGTATATTTACAGAAAATTAATTTTAGAAGTGTGTCAGAAAAAGAAAATGGGAAAAATCTGGTTAATTAGTTTGTGCTAGAGTAAAGGTTACTGGTCTCACTTTCTGAACGTTCAAGCAGTAAAATGTGTGGAGGGAAATAAATTAAAGTCAAAAAGAAAACAGATGGCAAAGAACGGATGTCATTTACTTTAGATGAAGACGATAAAATAAAAGGGGTTTTCACTGGTTTATGAATGCACTAGTGTTTTTGAGTTTGTTACAGTGTAGCCTGGATACACAGTAAATATATATAAATTAAAAAAAGGAGAATAAAATATTTAGCGGGATTGGAAAAACGGATCACATGTTCTAAGGCGATGTGTCCATGTGAATTATGCATTGAAACAGCTGGTAAAAAGTGTCTCTCTCTTTCTCTCTCTCTCTCTCTTAGGAGCTGACATTCACCCATCTGAGGGCTTTCAGGGTCAGTACATTTATTGCAATCGAAGAGCCCTGTCTTATCAAGGCTAATGCGTACCTCTCTACTCTTTCCTTTCATATCGATTGTGTACGCACAGTTAAGTGGTCAGACGTTTGCCAGGTGTGTATTTGCCCTTGTCTGAGATGTTTTGCCATTCCAGGCATGCACGTCCCCGGGAGTTTTACCTGGACGTAAAACTTAATTGGTAAATGACAGATTAGAAATGAATCTCACTTTTAATTTGTCTAAACCATAAATCCCCATTGTCTCAGCGAGGGAGAAGCTTCATGCACAGAGGCTGACCGACACTGCCTTTATGCAGAAAACTGCTAAAGGCACAGACTCACACTCTGTGGATAAGCAGTATGATACTTGTTCGGCAATAAAGGTTTTGAAAAAACTATAAAATTAAATAGAATTTCATACATGGCGGATTTTCCGTATTAATTTCTTTGTTTGTGGGTTGATAATTTCTGACAAATACTAAACCACAATAAATACCGGGCATAAACAGAAAGGAAAGGGGGTTTTGAGAAAATAGAAGAGCTTTTTATTTCTCCTCACTGAGAATGTAAATCTACAGACTCTGTGAATTCAGGCTTACATGACAGCAAAGCAGAGAGAGCACAAACTCACCCCAATGAAACCGCATACACCCCTTTTTATTGGATCCGCAGGTATAGATGTGTAACAAGACTTTGAAAATTCAAGTTATTGCAGTAGTATGCTGTTCCACTGGAAAGCTTAGAGAGCTAAAACATTTAATTTTATTTATACAATTATTCAAGAATACAATATTGACAAATAAT